CTCAAACCTTGAACCCTTTGAAATATTTTCTTCCCCTAGTCTAGTGGAGCAGGGGGAGTGAGAGAGTGGCTGGGGGGGGGGGATGGGGGAGAGAGTGGCTGTTGTGGGTACCTGGCTGCCGGCCAGGGTCAAACCACGACAGAATCATACAGCTTAGAATTGGAGTGTGCTGCAAGATTTCAGTACTGATGCCAGGTGCAAAAAGTAAAAAAGATAGTTTACTTTGTGCTGTCTTGGGCACGGTGTTTTTGGACAAGCAGCAAAAGGTGCAAAAATAATTCTGTGGCATATAGCCTCGCATTTGTGGAGCCATAGTCTTGTCTGAATAAAATGGTTTTAGGCTTCTACTGTATTTGACTTGCCTCTGGCTTAAACAGGTCATCTTCTTTATTACATTGCAAGGGAGTGCTTATTTGTAAAATTAATGCACGATTATCCATAATAGGCAGATACAAGTTGATATATTCCAGTGTATCTGGAATATTTCCAGTCTTCTGGATGCCTGTGTCTGTGTTAGCCTGCATCAGCTTCCTAGTATCAGCCGCACTAAAAGAAGAATCAAATCTAATCTCTTGTGATAGAGAATAACCTTAACCTAATGCTACCAGATAGGAGAGAAAAATTTATTTGAGGCTTTTTTTGGAAAAAGGATAAGATCATCTAAGCAGTAAAGGGTTCATTAATTTTTTCATGGAACTACAATAAAACAGTGTGTCTCAAATAACCGTGCTGCTTCCTGTGGGAAGGGATCAGGCTTGCATGTGGACAGTACTAGGTGCATTGCAGATTTATTTTAGCATACATTAAGATTTCTAGTAAATGTCTCTTAGACTGGCATCAGTTTTTGTATTTCTGCAAGATACTTGGCAGTTGCAGTTTTAGGGTTTTATACAGGTGTGGAGTGTAGCGGAGTAATAAAAATAGGCCTGTTCTTAATGATCAGCAGGCTTCTGCAGTTTTCTTTTAATTCTAGAACAAGTGTGAATAAAGTGTGGATAAAGGGATTTCTATGGGGTCTCAAGGAAGGAATGGTATTAAAAAAACTTGGGTTTATTCCATTGTCTAGGAACAAGCTCTCTGGTCCATAACCGATTACTAAAAGGATTCTCTAGTTCATGGTTTTGCTGTGTCTGTTGTTAGTTCTTTGCTGCTGTCCTGTAATGTATGTACTTCTGCAGGAAGAGACCCTTTCTAAAGTCCTAGGCAGTTTTTGTACACCTGGGTTTTATTTGGAAAGTTGAAACAAACCCATATGTCTACTGAACTCAAGAGATTGAATTCTTAAGAAACTAGTGTTTCTTCTTTTTTTCCGCAGAGATGAGGAGGATATGCCTTGGCTTAAAGCTGGGCTGGTGCACATGGTACTGACTTAGCTGAGTTGTCTGAAGCAAGTCTGGGAGGAGAAGGGACCGGCTCAAGCTGCTGGCTCTGCTGGTGGTGTGAATGGAATGGATGAGGTGTGTTTTTTGTGAGACAGGAGTCGTGGGTACTGTGGTGTGCAGAAACAGGCATTTTTGAGTCACGTGAGGTCACTTGCAGGAAGCACCAGTTCCAAACTCCAGTTAGGAAAAGGCTTGAGTTCCTTCACTTGAGTTGAAGTAGTAGTAGATCCTGCATGATAGGGCGCAATATACTCACACAGGGGTTGATTCTCAAGGAGCTGGGTAGTTAAGGGTTGCTCTAGACCACAAAAAAAATGTGTATAAGCATATTCACTGATAGGTGAAGCCAGGAGGTAAGTTGTCTTTAAGCAAAAATGAGTAAAAGTTGCCACTTAAAGGAAAATTGCAAAGCCCTGAAGTTTGCCATGGCATGTGTGTTCTTGTGCGTACTTGATTAGAAATAGAATATGCTAGTCAATACTAGATTTGTCAGAATTTTCGGCTTGTCAGAAGACTTTTGATGAATATGACATACAAAACGGGTTTTCCATTTCTGTGAGCAGCAAGTAATGATTTGTTGCTATGGTTGACTTTGATAAATTTCCTTCTGCCTTCAGTGTACTTTTAACTGTGTGAATAGTCTTTCCAAGATGATAAAAATCCATATTAAGTTTGCCTGTAAGATTGACTTGTGGAATGACTCTTGGATTAGTGCACAGATGCATAGTAGGTAATTCAGGACAGCATTTTGAAGCTTCTCTGAGCAATGATGTCTTCCAGTAGACTTTAATTTCAGCTTTTCCAGGTGTAGACATTTTTACCATAGCCTGGCAGCCGGCAGTAAGTTTATTTTCAGCATTATTCACTCAGTTTTTGTTTTTGTCATGATACTTGCTTAGCATGAAGATTTCTGCCCTCATTAGAGGCTATTTGATTCTCTTGCCAATACCTCCTGAGTAACATGCTTCTGTCGTGTGTATTGCTGCTGCTGGGTAGTTGTATGTTATTCTGTATCTTTACTGTGCGAGAAGAGAGCAGCAAGGCTGTGGATATGAACACAAAATAACCTGTAAGTACGAACAAGGAAGCTATTTGTTACCAATCTTCAAAAACCGTGTCTGGCAATGCATCTGACAGAGATGCATTCTACTCAGTGCTGGTGAGGCCACACCTGGAGTGCTGTGTCCAGTTCTGGGCTCTCCAGTGTGAGAGAGAGTCCAGTGAAGGGCCATAAAGATAGTTAAGAGTTGGTGAAAGGAAAACAGATTGAGGCTCTTCAGTGGTGCCCAGTGCCAGGGCCAGAGGCAATGGGGCCAAACTGACACACGGACCGTTCCGTCTGAACATCAGGAAACACGTTTTTACTGTGAGGGTGATATAGGATGCCCAGGGAGATTGTGGAGTTTCCATCCTTAGAGACATTCAGAAGCCAACTGGGCATGGTCCTGGGCAACCTGCTTGAGAAGGGGAGTTGGACCAGATGACCTCCAGAGGTCACTTCTAACCTCAGTCCTTCTGTGATTCTGGGTTACTTTGTCAGTGAAGCATCTTCCCTCCCCACCTTCTCCATTGCCAGGCATTTAATTAAAGGGAAATTAGGGGGCTGGTTAGCTCAGTGGTTTGAGTGCGGTGCTGACAACAATGACCAACACCGAGGTCATGGGTTCGATTCCTGCTCGGTCCCCATGTGTTTCCTGGTCTAGTTGAGAGACGTCCCTGCCCATGACAGGGAGGTTGGACTGGATGATCTCTAAGGTCCCTTCCAGCCTAGGCCATTCTATGATTCTATGAAATTGTCAATATTGGTTGTGGTACACGTTAAGGAAAACTTTTGGTGAGTAAAATTGCCAGAATGGCCGAGTAATAGAAGTTGTGTTAAGTACTAACGAAACCTGTTTCTGGAGGTAATCCTGAGATGATTCCTTGATCTGCTAGGAATTTTCTGTAAACGTACCCAGGTTAACAGCATGTTTGCAGCTCCACAGTAACTAAATACCCTACATTCTTACATTGAACGGGATAATTAAAATAGTATTGATTCACACTTGTTCTCTTCACCAAGAACACAACTAACCCTCGTCATCTGGGGGTATACTACCAAAATACAGAAATCCTTGGTTTTGCTGTCAGTTAGTAGTCCTACCTTCAACATGATAAATTGATTGCAAGTTGAGAGGCAAGATGACTTCCACAGTTGCGTCAAGGGAATTTGCATAGAGAATACTCCATTTTCTCACTCCTTGTCTAGTGTCTCCCCACTCCCCTCACTCTTTGGAGTTTCGGTTATACTTAATAGAATTGTCAAGGTTGGAAGGGACCTTAAAGATTACGTAGTTCCAACCTCCTTGCCATGGGCAGGGACTTATTCCCAAGCAAACTATTTTTGCTTGACTGTAGCCTCTTGTTGAAATCTTCCCTTTGGTATCTGTCTAAAACTTGGGCTAGTAGCCCGTCAATTAGTAGTTTACTTTAGGAAATTGGTGACAAATAGCTGATGTCTAGGATTAGAAGGGGTGAATAAGGTGATGTGCAAAAATACGAGTTATGTATTTTAGACCTGGTTTCTTTGTGAATGTAACAAGTAAAACTCGTTCTGATCCAACTTGGACTCGATCCTGTTATTGGTGTCTACTTTAGAATATGAAGTTATTTGTGTCTTCTTTTTAAAGAGGTCACAGTTTGTAAATCCAGACCTGGTCTTCAGGCTGTATATATTATAATCTGTGATGGAGGAAAGAGTTTAAAAGGTGACAGGAATCTTTAAAATCACTTTGGAAGAAGCACTGTTTGTATTATTTTCATTTCTTCTATACTGAGTATAACAATGCTAATGTAATATTTTTTTTCCTGAATAACAGTACCTCTCCCTCTCCCTGCTGTGAATGTCTGACTTTGGTTGGACTGAAGTAGCTTCTTAAATCAGCGCAGCATTATTGCTTTAGATGTTTGGGTTTGTTCTCCACTGCCTTTTTAGGTATAAATGAGGATTCACAATAGTTTAGACTGTGGATGGAAGTCAGGTTATAGAGCATGCTCTTTAAGATCAAGATGTCCTATTCCATGCAGACAGAATACGAGGTCTAGGTTTTGTGAATGTTGTTAACACAGATTATTTCAGATTTGATAGAAGAGCTCCTTCACCAAACTTTGTAGTCCTGTAGAAATTGAGTTGCAGAGTCTCACAAGGAAAATACCTAATGTGATTTTGATAAACATGAAAAATAAGCTATCCTCGAAAGTTGTTCAGCAGTTCCTGAATTTTAAAACCAAATTTATTTTTTTCTCTTTATGTCAATAGCAAGCTGTGTATTACTGACCGTGGGTGAATGGGTTAGCTTTGGGCACTCTTTTACTGGTAATTTAAAAACTTCTATTTTGCACTTCTGTTATTACATATCAAGAAAATGTAACATTTTTGGTTTTGGACAGAATCCCTAGGCTCTTTTTGATTATACAAGTTCTTAATTTTTTGTTTTAGGTGTGGAATATCAAACAGATGATTAAATTAACACAAGAGCATATAGAGGCACTGCTAGACAAATTTGGAGGAGAGCATAACCCACCGTCGATATATTTAGAGGTAAGTTTACATTCAAATGAATGTTAGATTAATCATGTGTTAGCTTAATCTTATATGAAGCATCTTGTGTTAAAACTGAGAATAGTTGTAGTAAAAGGGAATATACTCCTTGTGTATTAGAAATGTATTTCCCTGGAGGTAGAAAGGAATTTTCCTGATATGCATTGGTAGCGGAAGATCAGTGGTATGATCCAATAGTTACATTGGTGCAGTTGAAACATCCTTTTTAGGTGCAGAGAAAAGGCATGCTTGGTTGTTAAAAGCGAATATATACATGGTAACATAAGACTAACATTGCCTTTAAAGCAGTTGGCTTTGATTTTTTTCTCTTTGAAAAATAATTCTGTAGTATTCTAATAATGATATTAGTAGAAGGGAACTTCTTAAGGAAATATATAAAATCATAGGGTGGAATAATAATTCTTAGCAGACTTTAATTTGTAAACTAACTACAAATTAAATTTCCATATTCTTTCATCACTCCAGATTCACAAAGTTGTATTGATGTAGGAGTGTTACAAGCATAAAAAAGGACTACGTGCATAAGCTGCAACTATTAGGAATCGAACGGATGTCACTTGCTCCAAACCCTGCCCTTTTCTTGGTTCTCTCAAGTATTGAAATAACTGGAGGTCAACCAGATTTCTTTTGTAGTCTTCTTAATTGTAACTGCTGCCTAAAGGCACTGGGTAATTAAAAATAAAGATCTCGTTATTTGAGGTACTTCTAGCTTTTATCTTAATATATGAGAGCAGGGCACTAGCTTGATTATACAAATGTTGACATAACGTCCTTAACAGTTAAGGTCAAATGAGGCCCTCTTTAGTTGCTTTACTTATTGCCAGTGTGAAATGGGAGTATTGAATGAGCACTATTTGTTTTTTTAACCACTCACTGATGTGTAAACACACCTCTTCTTACATGAACCAGTTCATTCCGTGTGTCTGGATTGAATATTGCTACATGTATGTTATTTTCATTGATTTGTGTATCAAATTGCAACAATAATGAACTGAAGCTGTACTAGGTCTACACTTCAGATAATGAAATCGTGTGTGACAGAAAGCCATTGGTCACTTTCCTGTATCTAAATTA